TCCACTGGATAGGTCTCCGAGAGGGAGTTCCAGTTGACCTAGGGTCGTGGTGTGTAATCTGGGTAGGAGCACACTAGGAAGTCTCGGGTGTATGCGGATGGGAGGGTTACCTTGGTTGGTTGTTCTTGGAACACGCCTTGGATGAGACCCGTAGGCTTATATATGTCGAGGACGTTGCGTGGTATTGGTAGCTACCATCCCGCTTCGTCGTATTTTGTATCCCGATATTCCCCAGCTTCTCTAAATCCCTTGCTATATACCGTTTTGAGAGATGTTGTTTTATATTATTTATATACAAATTTTAGACGAACTTCGGGAGAGCATATCTCCCTCCACAGAGGTCCGATAGGGACGTGCCATACGCCGTTTTGAATCTTGCGATGTCCCCTACACTTTGTTAAAATCTTAGAATTGTATGGGTTGTACGCAGCCTTGTGGAAGCCATTGAAGACGGACTGCCCAGAACGCATTTGTACAGGGGCTGTTTCTGGCAGTTTTTGGGAATTTTATTCCCGCTTCGTTTCTTGGTCAAATTAAGCGTACGATATATCAAATTGAAGGTTGAGGTGACTAGTTTATGGTGTAAAAATTTGTGAGCAATTGGATGAGTGGATTTTCTGCAGTAATTAACGTAGTGAGAGACGTTTGGAGCCCGTTTTGGGGTTGGTTGGCAGTTTTGCTTGTCCAACTTCAAACGGCGATATCCGGAGCAAAGAGATCGAAATGACTCGTGTGATGACTCTTTAGAAAGGTAATTAGGTCCTGTAAAAGATACTAAAAGGTGAGACGAACACGAAGAAAATTGGGAGAGTATGAATGAATATACCGAACCACGTTCGAATAGGTAGAAAACGTAAAAGTGTGAAATTGGTTAAGCGGGTTTATGGGAACCCCTTAGTGACTTATAATAACTAAAGTAAGTTATAAGAATAGTTTAAATAAGTATTCCGCAAGAGTTTACAGTTATGGTCACAGCTTTTAATTATTACGCTTTTTATGGTTTTAAATGCTCGCGTAATAATCGGGAAAAATTTACTCGTATTTTTTTAAATGAATTGTTGTGATTGTAACTGCGCTTAATATCATAATTAATGTTAACAATACCGGTGTACAACGGGCTGTTACAATTAGTGTCTTATAAATAAGGGAAAAATGTGTGTCATTTTAAAGGATATAAAGTTGTGTCATTTTAAGTGAGAGAAAGAGATAAATTGTGGGGGAGAGAGAGTGGACAAAAAAAAAGTAAAGGTGTGGGTCCCACCTCTTTGTGAGAGTGAAGTGATACAAGTTATGTCATTTAAAAGGACAAACACTTTTCCCTATAAATAATTTAGGGAGAATTTAAAAAATCAAGAAATATGCACACATAATTTTATTTAAAATGATACAAAGTTTCATGCTTTAAAATGATAAATATTTTTTCTTATAATTATTCAAGAAAACTTTGCAATATTATAGCACTTAATGTTTTTAATAAAAAAATATAAATATTGAATGAATGAATTACATAATTTATTAATTAAAATTTATACTACTAATAAACTAAATTTAAAATCAAAAGATGATATTACACATAAAAGTTTAAATAAGAAATTACTGATATAAAAAAAAATAAGAAATTACCAACATCCTTTGAATAACAATATGAATATTGAAACAATTTAAAACATGTTCATCAATAATTTCTGATTTTTTTATTTACTTTTGAAATGTGTTAAAAAAATTACTCAATAAATCATTATTTCAGATACACAACAAACAACCGTAAAAAGTATTAAGTTAAAATTATAAATATTATATAATAAAATGAACAATAATATAAACACTTGCATGTCAAAGTAAAAAGAAATACATTAAATACAAAAATAAAATAAAATATGCGTTAATAACAATAGATGGAAATGATAAACTACACACTTACATATATAATAATTAACAAAATAATTAATCAATCAATAATTGTTCTCTCTTAATAAATTTCAACGTAATATATATTTTTCTTTTAATAACAAACAACTAAGCTTTTATCTCTCCTGTTAGCCACTATCTTTATAAATTTAATAATTAAAATATTATTATATTTAATCAATAATTTAATGTTATATAACAATATAAAAGTACATGCCATCATACATGCACATATAACTATATAACTTAATTAGAAACAGTAGTAAATTATTGTATCACTGGTTTCTAATGATAATAAATAAATTACGGTGTTATTATTATTATTATTTAAAAAATACATTGATATTTCTATTTATTTTAAAAAATATATGAAAAACTCTTGATTTATAGTTATTAAAAAAAAAGGTACTATATAGCCATAGCTATTAATAACTTAATAGAGAGAACATTTATTTATTTAATAAATTTAATTTGTTTAAGGTAGCAAGAGACAAATGACTCTCTTTTTTTTTGGTAAGCTGACAAATGACTCTTTTTAATCTAATAAAACTGAGTAAATTTACTCACATAGTCACATATATGAAAGCATAAAAAATAGTATTCCTCAATGATTTTGAATTCAGAAAAAATATAATAATATAAATTAAAATAGAAAATCATTTAAGAGAATATTTAAATTTTAAAATAAATAAAAAATTTATTTAAATGTATTTAATTTATGTAAAATAAATAAATAAAAAATTTCAACTTATCAAACGACGTGTATACTAATTTAAAAAATTCAAAAATAAAATTATAAAAAAAATGAGGAAGGTTATACTTACAACTAGGGGTGTAAATGAGCCAGGCTAGCCCAGCCCAGCCTACAACCCGGCCTTTCAAAAAAGTAGAGTAGACTTAGGCTTATAAGAAAGCTTTTTTAACAAATAAGCCATAGGCCAATTTTGTCAAGCCCGGCCTAAAGCCTTGTAGGCTGGACTATTTAATTTATTAAAATAAAATAATAAAGTAATATTTATTTTATGTGGCAAAGTACCAATACCAACCTTAATTTTTATGTGCATCGCTGCTTCTCCCTCTCGGCTTCGTCTTTTCTCTTAAAACCCCTGTGCTTGTAGCCGACCATTTCCGACAGCCACCTCTGCTTGGAGACTTTATTTCAGCACCCGATAATTATATTTTTCTTATTTTCCTCATTTCTTTGACTTTATTCCTCTATGATATACATTCTAGAGCTGGGGTATTTTGTTGACTCTTTCTTGTTTGTCATTTTTTTCTTATGAGAAGTACTAGTGCATGCATGAATGGAACTTTCTTTGCTCTATATAATTATTTTCTTTGCTTAGTATCTACATTGGGAGGCCTACAAGGCCTGTGGGCCATGTCAGGCTTTCTTATTTTAAAAAATAGGCCAGACTTGGCCTACAAATAAAGTCTTTAATAGGCCAGTAGGTCAGATAGGCTTAATTTCTTTTTACGTAGGCTTGGGCCAGGAAGGCCAAAACCCAGCCTAGCCAGCCCATTTACACCCCTACTTACAACATATTTTTGTTTACAACCTTTTACAACCATAATCTTAATCGTTGATTTCCATTTATTATTTATTGTGAATTAATAATTAATTAATAAATTTAATTTATGAAAATAATAACCGTTGATCGGGGAAAATCAACGGTTAAGATTATGATTGTAAATAAAAATAGATTGTAAGTGTAATCTTCTTCAAACAAAATATAGAAAGACACCTATGATCACTTTTTCTAAAAAAAAATAGGTAAATTAAAAAAGGGGGAAATAATTTCTGCCGTGACAAAAATTATTCCCTCTGTCATAGATACAAAACAGGAGAGAGAAGAGCATGAGTCAATGGCAGAAAGAATAGTTTCCTTTTGAAGCATAAATGATTTTCCCATTACTAGTCTAGTGTAATTTAATATAGGAAAAAGTGTTTTTTATTTTAAATTACATAAAATTATGTCATTTTAAGAGAGAGATAGACATAAGAAAATATTTTTTTATTTAAAATTTAAATTAAAAAAAACCACTCACTTTCTCTTCTATGATTTTCATTCCTTGTGTCTATCTCTCTCTTAAAATAACATAACTTATATCATTTAAAATGACAAACACCAAACCTTTTAGTATATACATATATATTTCGAAAAAAATTATAATTATTGATATTTGTGTGATATACTCTTTTACTCATTCAAAGAAGTAATAGAAATTTTTTTATATTTTGTTTTAACGAAGAGAGAATATGATTTACTACTGATTTCTCATTATTATCAATTGTTATTTATTTGATTTATTTAAAACCATGAAATGATATTTAAAATATATAATTTTATTCAGAAAATTAAAATTTTCAAAATATAGTACACAAATATGCAAATATATATTTTTTGTGTATAAATTAATAAATAATTTATAAATATCATCGAAAAAATTAACATGTAATAAAAAATATAACTAACATATTCGTTTACCAAAAATATATATGTTTATCAGACTCGATTGATCATACGTAATTTATAAATTTATTAACTGTGTTAATTTTTTTATTTTTGAATTACCTTTTTATTTTATATATTCATTATTATTTAATGAATAAATCATATATATTAAATATTATCAAACATTTGGATAAAATTAATTTTCAAAGTTAAAATTAAGAATTTTAAGTAAATTTATAGTAATACAATCATATCTCTATTAACCAACAAAAAAAAAAAAATACACAATCAGATCTCTTTTTTTAAAACATAATATAAGTAGTTTTTTTTCATTAAAATCAAATTATTTTTTATTTTCTTTATTCATTAACTGAATTAAAAAAATGTAAATGACTGATAAGTATAATTTATATTTTCTAAAGAAATTATAAATACATTTATCCAAAACAAAGTATATAATTATGTTCATATGAAACTTGTGCGTCCTTCGTCTGAGATTCAGTTCTCCTTTCATCCGCTCCACATTTTTGGAATCATTTTCTCTCTCCCACTTTCTTTCTCCGTGATTTTCGAAGAAAGCCCATTTGTGTTGTGATGAGAGAAGAAGAAGAAGATAAAAGGGTGTAAAACACAATGATGAACAGCGATCTCCATCGATTCGGAGTGTCATCTCATTTCAGGGGGCGTTTCCCGAAATCGTTCTCTCTAAGAAAGAAAGTGCCATGGTGGTACCAAATCCTTGATCCACGTTCAAAGTTCATTGCACAATGGAACCGTTACTTCCTATATGCATGCATTGGCGCTCTGTTCCTCGACCCTCTCTACTTCTACTTCCCTGTCTCCGGAGACAAAGCATGCATGGAGACAGACTTGGTCCTCGGCGTCTTCGTCACATTCTCACGCACAGTCGCCGACCTCTTCTTCCTCTTCCACATGGTCCTCAAGTTTCGCACCGCCTTCGTTTCTCCCACTTCCCGCGTTTATGGCCGCAAAGAACTCGTCACCGATCCCGGCCAGATCGCCTCTCGCTACCTCAAGTCTGATTTCATCGTTGATCTCTTCGCCACCCTTCCTCTTCCCCAGGTAATATATATATGGGAAATAGTAGTTTGTAGGAGATTACCATCTTACGTAGTAGACATTTCGATAAGTGTGTTTTATTTTCTTTTCTTTTCTTTTTTTTTAGTGGTGGATCTCATTATTTTGTGTCTTATCATAAAATATACTATCTCCTAAGAGTAGACAAACATATATATATATATATATATATGCGCGCGTTATCTTATCTATGCAACCATGCATACAATTTTGGTACAAGGATTAGCAACAGTTCTAAGGTTGCTTCTTGTGATTATACTAAGGTTGCTTCTTGTGATTATACTAAGAGCCCGTTTGGATGGACTTTTTTTCTTCAAAAGCTATTTTTTTTAAGAAAAAAAAAAGTGCTTCTCGAAAAAAGTCTGTTTGTATACATGCTTTTATAAAAAGCAGAAGTCATGAAAAAAGTCAAAAATTTACTTTTTTTCGGAAGCTAAAAATTTTAGCTTTTAAAAAAAGCAGAAGTCAAAAGTCAAATATTTTTTTCAAAAATCAAATATTTTTAAAAAAATATAAATAGCTGTAACTTTTATAGAAAATACTTTTAAAATAAGGAAGTGATAAAAAAAGACTTTTTTAAAAAGGCAATACAAATGAGCCCTAAGTTGTGGATCAAAATAAAGCCATATTTGATGTTTTTTATATAAAAGTTTAGTCTAGTGATCTAGTTAAATTTTGGGCTCGTATCCAGAAGAAAGAGTTCGAATCTAACTAGCTGATGTGAGGATCTTATTACTGGGCAATTTATAATCACTTCTAGAAATTTTCAAAAAAGTTGGAAGGTTTGCCTTGAATCTGATGGGATGTCCATATCTAACTCCGTCTAAACTTTAACAACCAATTTTTTTTTTTATATATAATTTGACCTACTCAATTGCAATAGATTCGAATCATGGGAATCACATGTCATGGGAAGGAACAAATACTCTGAGCACAGGATGCGACAGTAGTATTATAACTATGTACAACTACCGGTTGTGATTGTCTTGATGTGTCACACTCTTGTTGGTGCGATGTACATACCACGGTATTCCCCGGGAAAATGGAGAGGCTCAAATAGTAAAATGGATTAATCAGGCTTGTTAGACACATGTATCTTAAAAAGCATGTGTGTTTTGAAAGAAGGATTGATGGGGCGCTTCTTCATTGATTAATTTTTTTTAGTAATTTTTATTTTCATGTATGGAAGTGCAGATTGTGATTTGGTTCGTGATTCCGGCGGTGAAAGATTCAACGGCAGCTCATGTGAATCACACGCTGTCCCTGATTGTTCTGATTCAGTATATTCCTCGGTCATTTCAGATTATTCCCCTGCAACGGCGAATCTTGAAGACAAGCGGGCTCATAACAAAAACTGCATTGGCAGGGGCATTGTACAATCTTGGTTTCTACATGCTGGCCAGCCATGTAATTTTTTTATTCATTGATATTAATATTTCCAAATATGTTGAAGGTGGAAAATGACATATACTATATGGTTTCACAAATGTTGATTAACTCGTGTGTTCGGGAATGTTGTGTTGTCACTTGTCAGTGCAGGTTCTAGGAGCTTCGTGGTATGTGACATCCATTCAGCGCCAGTTCGAGTGTTGGAGAATAACTTGCAAGAAAGAGATGAATAGAACGCACTCTCCATCTTGTAATCCTTCGTTTCTCGATTGTGCTACCCTCGGCAACCACGAACGCCAAGCATGGTTCAGACGCACTAGAGTCCTCACTGATTGTGATGCTCTCAATGATAAAAACTTTCAGTTTGGAATGTTCGCTGATGCTTTTACTGATCATGTCTCTTCATCAAGATTCTTCCAGAAATACTTTTACTGCCTCTGGTGGGGTTTAAAAAATCTAAGGTAACACTTTTCAATTCAATTTATAGTTTCAGCTCATTCTGCTTATTTCATGTCATAATAATAATAATAGCACTTTTTAAGGTTCTCTAATGTGTTTTGAACCCCTTTCTGATGTTCAGTTCATATGGACAAAATATTCAGACCAGCACTTACAGTGGTGAAACATTATTTTCAAGTTGCATCTGCATAGCAGGTCTAATCCTCTTTGCGCATCTCATTGGTAACATGCAGGTATTATAGAATTATACAATCCAATTCTTGTCATCATTGGGAAGCAGAATATCAAATTCAACTGTCTTTTTCTTTTCATGAAAAAAAAAAGAAATGGTTGACAAATTCTTTTAACAATGTTTCTTTGATTTTGTTTACCTTATTTTTTGTCTTGAAAAAAGAACTATCTACAATCTACAACTGCAAGACTTGAAGAGTGGAGACTTAGACAAAAAGATACAGAAGAATGGATGAATCATCGCCAACTTCCACCAGAACTGCAAGAACGTGTTCGTCGGTTTGTTCAATATAAATGGCTTGCCACTAGAGGTGTAGATGAAGAAGCCATTTTGCGATCTTTGCCTTTGGACCTTAGGCGCCAGATACAGAGGCATCTCTGTCTTGAAATTGTTCGCCGGGTAAGTCTTTTGTTATTGGTTTAAAATGTATATATATAATTGGTAGGAACATATCAAATGATTTGCATTCATAAATTAATTGGGTTCAGTTATTGTTTTGATGATAACATATCCAACTTATTTTTAGTGTATGAATTTGCAATGAAATCTTTTATTTTATTTTATTTGGAGTTCTCCCCCATAACCCCATAAGTTCTTTATGGACTAATCCAGAGTTTGAGGCGAATCCAGTATTAAGATTTCAAACTCCTCTTAAAGATGGTACTCGGAGGATCAAACAACATATTTTTACTCTCACGTACTCAGCTCTCTCATGCATTAACTGAGCTACCATCATTTTTACACTCATATTTGATTATAGGTATGGACATGGTTCATATGGATTTCTAATTCTCGTTATGTTTAGGTTCCTTTTTTTGGTCAAATGGATGATCAGCTCCTAGATGCTATATGTGAACGCCTTGTTTCATCCTTGAACACAAAAGACACTCACGTGGTTAGGGAAGGTGATCCAGTTAGAGAAATGCTTTTTATCATTAGAGGACAAGTAGAGAGCTCCACAACTGATGGTGGAAGATCAGGGTTTTTCAACACTATCACTCTCAGACCCGGTGACTTTTGTGGTGAAGAATTGCTAACATGGGCCTTGATGGCAACTTCTAGTCTTAACCTTCCATCTTCCACTCGAACAGTTAAGACCCTCACTGAAGTTGAAGCATTTGCACTTAGAGCTGAGGACCTCAAATTTGTAGCCAGCCAGTTTAAGCGCCTCCACAGCAAGAAACTCCAACATGCTTTCAGGTACTATTCCCATCAGTGGAGAGCTTGGGGGGCTTGCTTTATACAAGCTGCTTGGAGACGTCACAGCAAGAGAAAATTGGCAATGGAGTTGTTAGAAAAAGAGAACTTGTACTACACAAATGTGATGGAGCTAGAAGATGATGAAGAAACTAGTGCAGGAGAAAGTTCAATGGGGGATATTGCTAGCCTTACTCAGAATCTTGGGGCTACAGTTTTGGCTTCAAAATTTGCTGCAAACACTAAAAAAGGGGCAATTAAAAAGGTATCAATCCCTGATTCTGACAGTTTAAAGATGCCCAAGATGTTCAAGCCAACAGAGCCTGATTTCTCAAAATTCCAAGATTAGCTGAAGTCACATCTGAGGACCGAATTAAGATTGGGAACATAAGGCTTTCTTGATTCCTGTTTCTTTGTATCTATCTAGTTATTTCTCAAAATACCAAGAAACAGAGAATTTTCTCTCAATAGTTTATCTAAGTTGTTGCATATAAGATCAAGTAATTTATGTTGACGTTTGTATTTAGTAAATTGGAGCAATAAATTTTCTTGTCAAAATTTAAATATGGTAGTTTTAAGTCAAAGTATTATGTGGGCTATTGGGGTAGACTATCAGAAGTTAACAATATTCTTGACTGAATTGAATATCGCAAGTTTTTAAATGGGAATGGAAGTTGGCCTAAAAATTTGAAACGGGAAAGGCCCCAAAAAGTAAAAGAGAGATATGTAATTTAAGAAATCATGATGGGCTTAAAGAAGTTTTAATCTTACCGTACAACTGTTTTAAAAGAAATTCAACGAGACATATATATTTGTCACCAAAGAATACAACAAACCAAAGAGGGGTTCACCAAATATTGTACCTGTGATGTAGATTTGAACCATAACCTGAAGTAAGAGTGGAGTTATCATTGGCCCTGAATTTGATTTTCTGAAAATGCAGAGTTTGAAAACAAAGGAATAGAGTCACAAAATGAGAGATGGGAGGTAAACTAACTTAATGAGCAGCCATTGAATAAGTACCCATTGATGTAGCAAAATACATAAATAGAGCGTAGAAAGACATCTAAACATCAGAACTTTATATTCTGATACATTAAAAGGCTATAACTATTCCACATAAAGAACCACAAATATAATATAACACTTGACGCACACTTTGGCATCAACGTAAAAAATACAGGGGCAGCAAGACCAAGTAATCTCAGAAATTCCTTCCCTGAAGGAATGTAGAAGGCAAATGCATTGTATACCTTGTTTGTAAGGCCCGACCGCTTCAAGAATCAACGACTATCCCCACATATTAACACGAGACTTTTCAGTGCGCTTTTTCCTCACTCGCACACTTCCTAAGAAAACTTCCTAGGAGGTCACTCATCACAGAATTGCCCCAAGTCAAGCACGCTTAACTATGGAATTCTTTTGTTCCGGGCTAACGAAAAGAAGATGCATCTTGTTAGTATAGGTAGTATCAATCAATTCTTATAAGCTATCCCAAACTGCAGTTTCATACCTGCACAGTCTTTGGAATCTCTCTTTCGGGTGTCGATTCGATTCATTCGCTCATGTAACCCCCGCTGGAAGCCTGGAGCCGCTCCTTGTCCATGTCCTTTCACACCGGCGATCACTCCCCGCCATCGTCAGCGCTCGAGATGTTACATTGTTGTTTAGAGTTTGAGTCATTGGATAGGCAGCAACAATCTAGAAACAGAAAGGGAAGATTAAAAGCAGTACATACTGATTTTATTACATTCAAAATAGGTGGAACCATATACAATAACATCAATATATCCATATATTGTGATGCATAAAAGTTTGTTCTGCATACTTGTGATGCACATTTCAATTCCAACTTGCGCGTTTATAGTTGCTGAAATTTTTATACGGATGCAATTATGTTACAAAGTTTAAGGAGTGTTACATTTTAAAATGTGTTAGTCCAAGTGTATAAGGTGTCACGTGAGCAACGCCTCACGATAGGTGTTATTCCATGTGTATAAGCAGTCATGTGACCCACATAGCTTGTGACATTTTTTTTTTAAATATAGGTAAGGTTTTAGAAGGAGCCATATAAATTGACATATTATAAGTGCGATATGCCTTATTAAAAAAATAATTACGTGGTAGCACCTCATGAGAGGCGTAAGTTCACATAACGCATTCAAGACACTTGAATGATTGAAAAACATTAGAACACCCATTAACCTCAACATATAGGCTGAGATGTAGTGTTGGAGTCGGATCTCATTACCTTTGTAATTGTTCATTGACGTTTGTGAAATGATCGACCGTCTGTAAATTTGTCCTCAAGTGGTTATATGTCCAACAATCGAAATACAAGGGTTCGCTACGCTACACCATTAAGTAGGGATGTGCATGGGTCGAACCGAATCAATTTTTTTGAAAAACCAAACCGAATTGGTTTAAATGGTTCAGTTCGAAAATGGTTCGGTTCGAAAGTGGTTCGGTTCGGTTGGAAACGGTTTGGTTCGGTTCGGAACCAGTTCGGGTCGACCCTCTTTTGAAAAGAAAAAAAAATTAAAATTTAAAATATAAAGTTAGAAAAATCAATTTGGTTCGGTTTGAAAAAAACCGGTTCGGTTCATGAACTGGTTCTTTAAAATTCGGTTTGGTTTATGAACTGGTTCTTAAAAATCGGTTATTTTAAGGACGGTTCGGTTCATGGTTCGATTCAGTTTTTTAGTTATTTTGCACACCCCTACCATCAAGCATATAATGTTGATCATTAAGAATAATATTTTGTCAATTCTACACAAGATAGTTCATCATTAATTAACGACCATGTAAGGAACAGAATAAAAAATCAGATTTAAATGTAATACATTTATAAAATATGAAGAATCTAGTTAGGGCTTAGAAAAGGGGAAAAATTTGTGTAACACTCACAAAAATAAAAAGCAGATTGAAATATTTTTAAAGTTAAAGGTTGAAATATTTTTCTTGAAATTTTAAGTTAATTTGTATTGTGGGTAGAGGCAAAATACTAGTCATATATATTAGTAGTTTTTCTAATATGGTTTCAGGCCTTTTGACCATATTAGTTCAAAATATAAAAAGTTTGACTTCATTAAGCTTCTGGTCAAACTTATTACCATACTAACGCAAAACGACATGTTTTGCCTGTCACCGTGCTAAGACACGGTATATATATTATCGTTATTAGACATGGTACTCTCAGACCCGCTTTTGACTTGCATTGGACACGACATCTTTTCTACCGTGTTTAAGGTGTCAGAAGACCAAGAAAACGCCTCTGTCCATGTCGCATTTAGACACGCAATATCATGCAATGTTTTGCATGTAGGACAACGAGATTTACGGAAAACTGAATGCGAGACATGTCATACTTTTTTCAAACACGCACTGACACACACCGATTTGCATGCAAGACAAACCAATTTACGGAACATAGAACGCAGTTATTGGCATATCGTGTCTAAAATTTGTACCGGTCAAGACGTGTTTAGTGTCAACATTCAGTTAAATTGTGGCTCTCTTATGCGTCTATTTATATCGGTGCCCTTCATTTAGTTAAATTGTGGCTCTCTTCTTACGGTATAACTCTGGAGTTCTCTCTTATTTCGACGCGTATTTTTTATCTTCAACATTTGTTATAAGTTCAACTCTCTTCTTCTTTCAATACCCACACTGTCTTGGATTCTCTTTTATTTTATTTTTTTCACCTTCTTCCACATATCCTTTGATTTACCAATTGGCGGGAAAAAAATGAGTTCAGATTTACAAACAATTCGTGCACTTGTACACTATAATGGTAGAAAGGTTATGGGTTGTCGTGGTGTAACATTTGAAGAGAAAAAGAGAGCAATGTGAATTACATGTAGTACTAGTTTTTAGGAGTTGAAGGCAAAGATTCATCAGAAATTGGCGTTACAAGGGAATCAATATGTTTTCGAAGTGACTGTGAGAACTCTTGCTGGAAATATTGAATACACAATAATATCAATTATAGATGATGATGTCGTTGATATTCTATTAGATATATTTATGGATCAATCTGAAATAAGTTCTGATCAGAGCAGTGCAAGAAAGTTTGTTGAGCTATATGTAGATGTTGAAAATGCCGAGGATTTGTCAATATTGATTTGGTCACTTGATCTGAATATAACACCAAACACTAAAAATTTATACAAGTATGCATCATCATCTGTACCTCCGCCAGCATGCAACAATGCTTTATTTGAGGATGAAGACATTCCAAAATGGGACCGTAATGATGATGACGAAGAAGAAGACGAGGATGCTTGTCTGGCTGCTGAGCATGATGAAAATCAGTCAAATAGCCAAGATGATGATGATTGTAATCGATCCGCAGTGTTGACAGAAATTCGAAACACCTCAAGGATTGTCATCAACAGGTGTCGTTGGGTATCAAAAGATGGTCGAAGGTTAGCGAACAAGTGCTTTATTATTTTATTTTTTTAAATGTTTAGCTTGTTCATTCAACTATTGATTTTGATGTACGTTATGTAGGTGATAGTATATCTTTGGAATGACATTTCATATTACTCATGCATTAATTATGAGTATTCGAATGAATATCGGGAATATAAAGAGAGGGAGTATCGTGGTACATGGACTATTGGGGATGAGTTATTTGTTAAACAAGAGTTTGAATCGAAGGAAGTAGTGCCGATAGTGGTCAAGTTTTATTGCATGAAAAGTAATAAGGAAGCTATTGTTATTGAGAGTACGACTCTGAAGCTAGTCATGAGATGCAAGGACCATTATGCGGGTTGTCCATGGAGAATGAGGCAATAAAACTGAAAAATGGATTAATAAAGGTGGTGAACAGATGGGTGGGACCTTACCATTGTGTCTGCAGTAATCTATCCCAAGATCACATACAACTTGATTCCACATTTATTGCTTCAACTATCTTAGGTGAGCGATATTTCTTTAATTAAATTTGTATTGCTTTATGTGTTATGTCCCTTGATTCTTAAGTAAATTTATATATGTAATGTTTGGACATATATGGTCAAGGAAGAACCACATCTATCAGTTAGTTTGATTCAAGAAAGAATCCAAAATAATTTTGCATTTACTATTTCATACAGGAAGGAGGCATGGAAGGCTAAACAAAAAGTCATGGCAAAGATTTATGGCGATTGAGACCAATCTTATGCTTATTTGCCTAGATGGCTTGATTACCTGCTACATTTTTCTGAGGTTCTGTTTATCACATTCAAACAAATGACTATATGGTAAATCATCGAGTTGCTAATGGTTATCGGGTTTTCGGTAGGATTTTCTAGACTTTCAGGCAGTGTCGTGACACATTCAATTTATGCAAACCTATTATGCAAGTTGATGGCACACACTTATATGGAAAGTACAAAGGTATGTTGATGATTGCCATAGCGCAGGATGGAAATGATGAGGTATTACCATTGGCATGTGCAGTTGTAGAAGGTGAAACAAATGAGGCTTGGGAATACTTTTTGCCTTGTA